CAGGAGGAGACATTCAACGCGCTGAAGGATAGCATCGATGCCGCGTTCGAGAAACTCAAGGATCTGGCGCCGCCGGCCAGCGAGGGGGAGGAACAGGACGGGTCCGAAGCCAAGAAGCCCGACGCCGCGACAGCCCAGAAGCTGAAGGACATTGAAGCGGAGCTGGACAAGATCACGACCGAGATCTCGGAGCTCAAGAAGTACAGCAATATCAACTACACGGGCTTCCTCAAGATCGTCAAGAAGCACGATCGCAAGAGAGGCGACCGCTACAAGGTGCGCCCGATGATGCAGCTGAGCTTGTCGCAGCGGCCCTTCAACTCCGAGCAGGGCTACTCGCCATTGCTCAACAAGCTATCCATCATGTACTACGCTATCCGTCAACAACTTGACGAGGGCAGCGCCGATCAGCAGCCCTTGGACCTGGAAAGCCAAGGCGAGACGCATAACGGAGAGAGGTACACTGCCCACAAGTTCTGGGTGCATCCGGACAACCTGCTGGAGGTGAAGACGTACATCATGAGACGGCTTCCCGCGCTTGTCTACAGCGAACAGTCGGCCAGGGAACTCGACGGCTCCAGCGACCCTACGATTACGTCGCTCTACTTCGACAGCCCCAAGTTCGACCTCTATGGAAAGAAGGTGGAGCGCAAGGCCGAGGCCTCTTCACTGCGCGTGCGTTGGTACGGACAGTTGAGCTCTAAGCCTGACCTGTTCATCGAGCAAAAGATTGTCGGAGAGCAGGGATCCAGCGAGGAGCGCAAGTTCACGATCAAAGACAAGTACATCAAGCCGTTCATCGACGGAACATACAAGATGGAGAAGACGGTGCAAAAGATGGAGCGACAAGGCGTCCAGGCCGAGGAAATTGAAAACTTCAAAAACACCGTCCAGGCGCTTCAGGCTTTCGTTCAAGAGAACAAGCTCCAGCCCGTACTTCGCGCCAACTACGCCCGCACCGCCTTTCAGAAACCCGCTGACGACCGCGTCCGTATCTCGATCGACACCGAGGTTGCCTTCATTCGTGAGGACACCTTGGATCGCGATAGGCCTTGCCGTGACCCTTCCGAGTGGCACCGCACCGATATTGACGGTTCAAACGTGACCTACCCGTTCAAGGCCATCAACCAGAGCGAGGTCTCTCGCTTCCCCTACGCCATCCTGGAGATCAAGCTCAAGGAAGACCCCAACCGAAAGCGTCCTGCGTGGGTCGCGGATCTCATGGGTTCCCACTTGGTTCATCCCACTCCACGATTCTCCAAGTTCGTTCACGGCGTTGCCTCTCTTTTTGAAGACTACGTCAACAGCCTTCCTTTCTGGCTAAGCGATCTGGAAGCCGATATCCGCAAGGATCCTCAGAAGGCGTTCGAGGCTGAGGAGCAGCGTCGGGCCCAGCGTGCCGAGGATGAGCAGGCCGTCGGCAGCTTTTTGGGCAACAAAGTCAGTTCCTACAAGGTCTCCAAGAGCTCGCCGGCCGGCGCGTCCTATCTCGCCAACCGCATGGCGGCCGAGGCGAGCGCTCGCTCGAGGCAAGCGGGCACTACCGAGAACCAGCAAGCTGGCTCGAACCAGGAGAATGGCGACCAACAGCCGCGCAGCTATGGCACGCTGTCATCCGTCCTCCCCGGTTTCTCGCTGTCCAAGTACTCCAAGGCCAAGAGAGCACAAAAGAACCAGGTGCAGCTGCCCGAAGGTGTTGTCGAGCCGGTTCAGTGGCTCAAGAACTCGGGCGAGCTCAAGATCGAGCCCAAGGTGTGGCTGGCCAACGAGCGCACGTTCCTCAAGTGGCAGCACATCTGCATCCTTCTGGGTGCATTGGCCGTCTCGCTGTACACCGCCGCTGGGGAGAACTTCCTCGCCGAGGTCATGGGTATTGCCTACATCTTGATCGCCGTTTTTGCCGGCATGTGGGGATACTTCATGATGCACAGCCGGAGAAAGATGATTATCGACCGCAGCGGAAAGGACTTTGATAACCTCGTCGGGCCGTTGATTATCAGCGTCGCGATGATGATTGCGCTTGTGTTGAACTTTGTGTTCGCTGTAAGTTGACGCCGATCTTTGAACTGTGACAGAAAGCTAACGAAATGTTAGTACCGCGGTGCTATGGAGAGGCTGAACGGGGAGAAGATGGCCTGGGAAATTATCAACGGCACCAGTGAGCCTATCCGCCAGGAGCTCATTTAAGTGACGAGAAACTCGACAAGTGTAGATTGTGTGGGTGAACCCTGTGTAGATGTCTCGCGTAGATTTCGTTTGGTGATGAACATGGCTTTGGGCCGGGTGCTGCTTTGGCTCTTTTTTTGGTATAATGCGTGATACCTCAGTCGGAGGCGGATGTAGAAGCATCGTGTAAATGTTTATGGGATAGGACTGTGCATAAAAAAAAAACATTTTCTTTGTCGGTCAAGTAGAATCATATTGCACCAAACTGGCGACACGAGCTTCTGCTTTCGGGACTCTTGGCTTTTCTCTGTTCAGGCTCTATGGTGTTTGGGCAAGTTTCTCAGCGTTTCCGTATACGATGACGATGGTGCGGAGTAAGTATAGACCGGCCATATCTCGTCAAGCAGCGCGTCTCACTGTAGCCACATTGAAATAATGAGGACTGCTATGTTGCAAGCTTCGACTCCAGCTTCAAATATTAAGGGATGCTTTGAAGACACTGTCATCTATCGCATTATTCCTTGCCGCTTACTTAGAATCAATTGCAGAATGTGATTAGTGGTCTCTGACCACAGAGAGTACGCCTCGAAGTAGTCGCAGACTTTGACGCTGGCTATACTCTTGTCTGTCTAGCTGCTACAAATTCTATGTAAAAATACTTTTTACTAGTTGATATGCCCAAGTGAGCATTGTTCTACGTAAATGTCGAGTTAATAACAGCTGCATTATGCTATCCTTCACATCCGGTTCGACTTCTTCAAATGGACAGGAGGCCTCTTTATTAGGACGACCAATTATATGAATACTAAAGTTCCCTCGGGTTCAGGCTATAATGGCAACACCAGCTCCAACAGCCATCAGCTGATGCATTCTTCTCCTGTCGACCTCCTTCTTCAGCATACAAATACAGCTTGCAACGATGAGGCATTCTACAGTGTCCTTGCCACCATTCTTCAAATCCGTCCACCTGAACAAGTCCATCATCAGCCGGCCCCCGCTGCCGGCCGTAGTCCTTCCGGTCCCCGGCGTTCTTGTTTTCTCCCCGCGTACGAGCTGAGCGACGCGCGAAGCCTTCTCCTCTGTCTTCATCCCATTCGCAGGAATGGCCTGCTGGACAAGCTCACAGATGAGTAGCGTGTCCGCACCGTCGACGGCGGCGCGCTCTTTGCGGGAAGCGTAGCGCCATCGAAAAGTTCCGCATGGGGTTTTGAGGACCTGGGTGCGGGAGGTCAAGGATTTTGAGCGTATTTGGAGGTCCGAATCTTCCTCGCATATCTCTGTCACTACTGCAGAGCCATGCAGTGACGAATTCTCGTTTGGCAAGCGAAAGACTGGAGGCTTCCCTGGTCCGAAGCGGTAGAGCGTTGTACAAACGGGCATCTGAGCCGCATCGCCTCCCCGTATCAGGATACAGCTGTTGTCGCTGCGTGAGAAGCGGAGGGACCTATACGCTGGCGTGGAGCAGTTCCAGCGCCCCTCCTCGACTCGGAAGACTGGGATGGGGTCTGGCCTTGTCCCTCTCGGCAAAGAAAGCCAATGCTTTCCCGAGGACTCGATCTGAAATTGCACTGTGGGTGTGAAGCACTCGCCGGCTCGAGATGGAGAGCTGTCAGAGGAGCGAGAATCTGGGGTGTTTGGAGAAGGTCTGATGCTAGCATTGGAAAAGGAACGTGCTGCGGCATCATCGTAGGTTGGCGGCGAGTTTGAGAGCCGTGTTCCCGGCGATAGTTCGGTCAGGTTCACCACAGAAGAAGACGGCAGCTCTGTCGCTGAACAATACGACGGGAGGGAAGATGTGCGCAAAACGGGTTGCGGTGTTTCGGTTAGCGTAGACATGGTTAACTTTGCTATTGAAGAGGGTGGGAAATTTCAAATGACGATGTAATGTACTAGTGTTGTTGGGTCTTTGAAATGACTTGGATGATAGACATGCAAAGCCTCTTGACACGAGGTTGTTCAGGACACGGGGAAGCACGCCTTAAATGAGCTGGCCTTTCTCTCCGAGGTATGCTTGATTTCAAAAGGTTGGACTCCGTGAAGAAAGAACGAGAAATACGGTGAACGGAAGCGCCTCACACTCTGCAATCGTCCATCCGACATTGCCCATTCGCTTCCTCACCCACTTGGGGCAGGAAGCACATAGTGTCCCATGAGATTCCACGAGCGTCCCCGGGGGCGCAGCTGCCTAGCCACCTCATCGTCCCAGCTTTCAGAGCTGAAAGTGGCAGGGAGAACTCTATGCGCCTTCCCGCCACGTGCTTGGTCACCGAAGCGTTTTGATCGTCTGTCTTCCAATTGCCTCCTGGAACGCTGGCCAAATTGCAGAAAATCAAGCTTTTCTACAGGTCGCCTTGGTCATCAGAAATGCAAACGTGAGATGGTTGAAGTCTCGTTCTCCAGCGGCCCCACTTTCGGCCGCCGTATTGCTCGTTTTGCTCACTTCAGCCAATGAGAAGCCGGGCGTCCGGGCGGTGCGTCAAGATGATGGTGGAGGCGGTGCCGGGCCGGGTGGGGCCCATCCTGCCTCGGGTACCCGCACCGACGACTAGAGCGGTAATGAGGATCGGCGGTATTGTTGCCATGGTCCTGGAAGAACAAACCTTGTCTTGCTCACATGTCATTTTCGCCGTATGGGAACTTGAGTTTGCGTGATTGATCTACCCGTCTGCACGCGTGAGTGATCCAGTGGAGTTTGCAATCTTTGTAGGGCTGGCTTCTTACCGGCGGATTCGAGCACGTCTTGCGGGCTGCAAGCACACGAGAGGAGATGTAAGATTATAGCACCAAAGTTGTGATTACTATCCGCCATTGTATCTGAGGGAGCACCGGGTCATTCATTCTATCTTTGTAAAGAAGAAGTGATCCCGACTCATCTGGTCCTCCACCCACACCGGCCACTGGTTGTATATGAGGTGCTCATGGTCTATCTGCCTGTTCAGATACCTCAGCCAGCGGACAATGCTGCCCGTGTCCTCCGGGTTGTCCGTCTCCGTCTTCGGCGGCGCTTTCTCGCGGCATTCATGCTCGGCCTTGGTAACCGATGCCATTACTAGCTGAGCGGCGATCCAGTGAGTAGCCAGGAGAACCATCGTCATGTTAGACATGTCGATGACCCGCTGGAACTTGACATGTGGCAGCTGGATCCACCAGCCGTAGTGCTTCGAGATCATTCTGTATGCTTTCGAGGTTCGCTCAGGTCAGCTTCTTCTTCTTCTTTTGGCGAACTCTTCAACATTGGGGCAGATAGAGAGACTTTGCGGTACCTTCCCAGGATGATGTATGCATCTTGCACGCCAACTCGTATATGATATCATAGTACTGAATCTCAACCTCGTCTCGGCACAGATGTCGTAACGCACCAATGGCTTCAACCGCACCGTCAGCCCACTCCTGCCGTATCAATGGAAGATTCACCATCTTCGGCTCCAAGACCGCCCGCGAATCCTGGTCAAGCATGTTGACGAAGACGGGCTTGATCCCTTTGCACATCATCTGCGCGCCGATGATGAGAATGCCTCTGATGAAGGTCATGAACTCGCCCATGCCATCCTCGAAGCTGGTCGACTGAAACGTCAGTGCGAAGCACGTGGCTACGAGCGCGTTGGCGTGCTCCGTGTTGGTCCCCTTGGTCGGAAGCTCGGCCAGAGACTTCTTGATTGCCTTGATGGCCTTGACACGGTGTGCCATGGCGAAGGCCAATAGGCTCGGGTCTTGGGCCATTAGATCGCAGGCCGCCATGCCGAGGATGGCGTGCATTAAAAACTCGTGCTGTGGAGGCGTTAGCGAACGTGGCAAATGCCTCGGGAGCGAGCAGGGTCGTACGCTTTGAGACAAGCATGGAATCTCGTGGGTCCAAATGTTCTCGTTGCCGATGGGGTGGTGCGGGTAGCATTGGAGCATGAAGTGCTGGAAGAACCTCATGTCCTGCAAGCTAAAGAGCGGAACTTGGTGGTGAGGCTGGAAAATATTATCAGCCGCCGTACTCGAAATATTGACGCCTGGCGTACCTGGTGTGTGATGGTTGGCGTGCTTGGATATTCGCACTTCAAACCGGTCTTGACACAATGACCACAAGATGGGCGCGTTTCCTGGCACTGCGGAAGCGGTCAGGTCAACCGGCCCCAGATAATTCAAAGACGGAGGGTGTACCTTGATCCGCCTTCTTTTGCAGTTAAAGCATCCTCTTCGGCTCTTCGTATGTCCTCTTCGTTCAAGCCTCTGCTTCTGAACCGGTGCGTTTGACGTGCTAATTTCGGGACGTGAGTTATTGGCAGCCACTGCCGAAGAGGCGCCCGTCGGGGGAGAGGCGTACAGCGTCTCACTAGAGTACGCGGCCCCGTCTCCGAGAAGCAGGTCCTCGTCCGGGAAGGCCGACCCGAGGTCATACTCATTGAGACTGAAGACAGGTTGAATCGGGATGCCTTGGTGTGTGACGTCCATGTTCTCGTTTCTCAATTTCGGGGGGAGTTAGTGATGGATGTCTCGTTTTCAGAGAGCCTGACAGCTAGAAACGAATCGCCGTGCTAGACGTTTTAAGAAGCTTGTTCCATCGCCTCAACGGCTCGTCGACAACAGGCTGACGCTGAACCCATCACCTGAAAAGCACCCAAGAAAGCCAAGTCAAGTCACGTGTGACAGCGTCCAAGATTGTCATCGTGGCAGGGTGTCGGAGTGACTTTCAGCCCGCTGCAGGTCTTAGATGCATCATTCCTAAGTGTTCATTGGCCCCTTCAGATCGTCACTCAGCTTTGGTGGTTGTCTTGTGGAGGCTGTGCGCGATGAAGCCTTTCAAGTTGCCTTGCGACAGAACCAGTGATATGGCTCGCTGCTCACCGAACGAGTCTTGGAAACGGTACATTATGTGCGACCTCACGCATCGTCGCGGCGGTGCAAATATCGTGAGGTTCCCTTCCGTGTAGGTACACGGAAGACCCGCTTCGCCATGCGCGTGCGCTCCGTAAGCGCCCCAGGGTCCGTAAAATCGCAGACGCAGCTGGATCGATAGCTCAGTGGTAGAGCGAGAGATTGCAGTTCCACGCAGTTATCTCTAGGCCCCGCGTTCGAACCGCGGTCGGTCCTTCCAGTTTTGCACTTCGATCCTGGTGATGGATGGATGCCCTTTTCTTTTGACGATTTTTGCTTGTGTAGTCAATCTCCTCACTTGAGTTGTAAGAAATGCAAGGTTTCATTTTGTGTGCGTGGCCATGGCGCACCCGCTTAAATTTAAGCGTGTTTGTGCCCTGCCATAGTTATTCACTTTCTGGGGTCGGTCGGTCCCAACACAGACTTGTACTCAAAATCAGTTAACCATACACGATGGTGGTGTTATATCCCGAGGCTTGTAGAAAGGCCAGGCGCTACTTCGGAATTATTGACATGCCAATGTTAGTCTTCGATGCGACGGGTGCGGATTCAGGATAGCATCGAAATAGCCTTAGCTAGAGCCGCCTCCCACCCTGATGGAAATGGAAAGCTGTCCTTGCTAAACACTCACAAGAGGACTAGAAGGGCCGCCGAAGGTTGAGCAGAAGGACGACTCTAGCCTAGGCTTCAGCCGTATCTTCGAGGGTTTGCAAAAGTCTCATTACCCTGATTGTTGGCGACGACGAAAGCAGCGGTGCGACGCAGCTGGTTTGCTCTCCCCAAACTCACCTGATCTCCTAGGACCCTGGAGTTGTACCGCGAGCCAACTCATTCCTTTCTTTGACATTTAGTGGGGCCCGTTCTCTCGGCATCATGCTGCCGACAACGTCACTGGAGGACTCCTTAATAATTTCAGCATCCTATGCTATGGATGGCATTCTTTGTATCAGTAGATGAGATCAGATGATGCCTGCCGACTTCCGGTTTGCAGTGTCTGACACGTTGCGAACGCCCGCATCATAGCCACCGTCAGCCAGAGGGAGGCTGGTCCTGCAAGGGAAGACTTGAATTAATATAAATGCATGCAGCTGGGAGGAATCATGTTCCATGTGGTAGTACGGCGAGGAAACGACGAGAATGACACTTTGAAGGAATGCCGGTATTTTAGGGTGTCTACAGGCGACCTTCCCGTGCGGCGTGCAGCATGCAAGTAAGACAGCCTGTTTGGACAAGCGCAGATGACGGACACCAACCGACAGATTTCAGCCTAGAGAATGGAGAACAATACCAAGGCCTTAAGCCTATGATTGCAAGACATTGGCGCGGATGGTTGCCTGCTTGATTAGGGCGCTGCCAGGCAAGCCAGGTCACCTTGGGAATCAACAACGTTTATCGGCTTGGAAAATGCCCTCAGCGTCGAACGAAAGTACTCGGTGTTTGAGTGCGGCAGCTGTTTGCGGCAAGAGGCCCAGCTCGAGTGATTACGTACGCCGCGATGGTTGAACTGCTGAACGGTGAAAAGCCTCGTGTTCCTCATAATGAATTGCGTTGCGCGGCCCAGGGCTCTGAGTCGTGCTTCCGTCGACGTCGGCTTCAGCCTTTATCAACCACAGTGATCCGAGCGTCCAGCCCGGTGGTAATTGGCCTGATCAAGAACAGCGGCCGGCATGGCAGTCCCGGATGATGGACCCGGGTGACATTCCGAGGCTCTAGTGTAGCTTCGGCGTGGCGCAGTGGTGTCCAGGTTGTCGCTTCCCGGTAGGTCCTGCTGGGAGTTGGGGACGAGGTCGAACTCCCGTTGGACCACCAAGCTTTGGTTGATCCAGAGAGCTGGTCATCATCAGCTTCCTTTGCCAGGGCAGCACGGCAGGCAGGGGAGGCACCGGGTCGGACTGGGCGAGGGATGTGGGCGGCTCTGGGCGCCGTGGAGAGAGGACCAGACAAAAGTGAGAGAGATGCCAGAATGGGCGCCAAGTTTCGGGGATAATCGATGGGATGCGGTCGACAACTGCCCCGTGGCGGCGGAAGCTCATCTCGCTTAGGGTTTCACAGCCGGCACCCTGGGGCTTGTGGGTTGGCCCTGCCGGAACTGACGTTGTCGGGGACTGGAAGAGTCGGCCGTGTCCAACTCCAAGTCGAGTCGCCCAAGTCCCGGGCAAGGGCTGGGACGTGGACGCAGTCGATCCATCTGGTTCCACGTAACGTACTAAACGCAAAAGGGGATAGGCTCAAGAGAAAGAGGAAGACGACAACGTGGAGCCAACCCAAAGTGGTGAAACGGGTCCAAAGGGCGGGCCTGATCGTGCTCTCAGTGGCCTCGCATTCGTCCCATTTCCCTCGCAGATGGCATCAGTCTTGTCGGTTGCCCCAAGCGCGGGGCTGCCGTCCAATGTTGTCGTTTCTGTCATCCTTTGTTCATCCGATGCTGGCAGCTGCGGGACCGATACGAAAGCACACCAGGTTGTGTGCGCCGTAGGGCGGGCCCTTCAACCCGGGGCCAGGCCAGCTGAGCCGTTGAAGGCTTCGTCAGCGAGGATTGAGGTTCTCGCGTAATGGTCGAAGCCTCGAGGTAGGTGACTCGTCGACGATGAGGCTTCGCCTTGAGCCTGGCAAGGGACGAAGAGGCGGTAATGTCCGGAAACGGCGGTGGCTCTCGTCGTTTGTTTGCACACGTCTACGTCTACGTCTCCCTGGTGATGGCGCAGAAGGACCAAGATGGGTGAGGAGAGGGGAGGAGAGGGAGCGGAGCCAAGGCAATGGTGACGAGTCCAAGCAGCCAAGCAGAAGTTTGTTGGGTGAGTGAGGAGGGAGGCGAAAACAGAGGGATTTCCGAGCAACTGCTGTGAGCAATAGCTGGACAACTAAGAAAGTGGTGGAGGCCGTTCGCTAGAGTAGGATTTCACATGCAGACTTGCAGAGTCTTTTGCTGAGTATCCGTCCAGACCCAAGGTCAAGGCTCAATCGAGTTGCACTCAGCAACGGGCCTAAAAACAAACGTTAGGGTTGCAAGAACCTAATTAGTTGCGAAGATGCAGGTACAACGAGCTAAGTCAAGCACCTCAGTGTAGCGCACACGGGAAACAGACGGTCGAGTGTGCTGATGATGATTCTTACCTGCATCACGCTTACAACACGCACCGGCTCTGACATGTCTACCTACCATCGACTGCCACCTGTGCGTGTTGCCAGCCTGTGCGGTGCATCATGGTCTGGCAACCGCCGACTGGACTTGGTGGGGACTACTGCATAGTACAGGGACGGTTGAGGGGATAAGCAAGGAACTGGCTGATTCAGACGACTTGTGGTGCAGGCTGCTGGCTCGTATCTTTTGGCGGACGACAGGGCCGAGGTGTACCTTGGCGAGCAGCTCTCACCGAGGTATCCTTGGCGCCCGGTGTTCCAAGGTTGCGCCGCGGTTCCGGTTCCTGCAGCATTTTGCCCCCCGTTCCTGCATAAGCCAGGGGTGAAAATGGCGCTTCTTGCTCGATTCGCCTCCTGGTTGGCCACTGAGGTTGACGGGAACGAGTTTTCGACCCTGCCAAGTTTTGCTTCTTTCCCCTCTTCTTGCTGCATGCGCCGGGCTCGTGCTGGCGGCGAGGGAAGCACGGAAGGAAGGAAGCATGTTGAGCACCTAGGTATGGAAGGATAAAGTATGGACGTGATGGTGTGAAGGCACTCTGTAGGCGGCAATGTAAAACAAGCCAAAAAAGCGACTGTTTGTTTCTCCCTCGTTTGACGCCGAGCAGCCGTAATTAGCCCGGGGATCTGGATTATCGAAGACCAGTGAAACCGAGACTCCAACTATTAAGGAATAGAGGCAAATAACCAAAGAAGAAAGGGATTGTTCATTGCCTGCGCCCTTCTGTCTCGGTATCCATACATTTGGTTGGCCGTTGACGGTGACTAGGACGCAGAATTCCAGCGAGTTATGTCACTGTGGGCTCCCGAGTGTCCGTCTGCACGGGGAACCTGCTATCTGTGATACCGTGATTCACCGCGGCAGTTTCTGAAGTCTCCGCTCTGGGCAGCAACTCCAATGCAACAGTCGAGGAAGCCCTGGGTAATCTTCTGTCATCAGGTCGTTGCGTCGGTACGCCACCCCAGCAGCATTCGCGGATGCGTCCCGCCCTCTCGGCTGCCATTGAGCGGTTGCCAAAGAGTCAGTCCAGACTGTCCAGGCCCTGAGGCCCATGACGGGTGCCACAAAAAGAAAAAGCATGGGCCTGCTCGGAGGCGCTGATCCCCCCTCCCAAAAAAGAAGAAAAAAAATAAAAAAGACTCAAAGAAAAATCGGACGAAGAAAGACCTGATGAACTGCCAGGGGGGGACCACGGGGGCGCAAGGGAGTTTCCACAATCCAATTCCGTCCCATCTGTGCCACCACTCCAAGTTCCAAGACCACCACCATTGACCTTCCATCGACCACCACGACAGTGACGGCAGATGCTCCACCTGCCAGTCACTGAGGCGTTCGGGTATTTTGGTGTGTGGTAGGTAGAGGTCAATGGCAGGATGAAAAATCAGTGAACCAAAGCTGAGGAAGTCGCGACTGGCGAATTGCGTGTGCTGGCGTCCTGGCGCATCCACAATTCCCTGCGGTACGCAACCACTACCGCACCATGATTCCTTTCCTGGAAAGCGCGATACGTCCGGGCCGTCGTAAACTACCCCCTGCTTCCTGGAGTTGCGCGGATAGGCAGGTCCAGAGTCCAGAGTCAGTGCCGGTGCCCACCCCTCCCAGCTCCTTCCCGAATCCCTCGTGGTGAATCGTGAATCAGCCCCGTTGTCCTGCAGCCCCGACCCATCGGGACCCACAGCCCGCACCTCCTCCCGTGTCGCTCCTGCGTCTAGCCAGCATTGGCACACCCACAGATCGTTCGCTCGCTCCTTCTCCTCCCCCGTCGACTTCACCAGTTGTTTCCTTCGTTCCACCTCCTCGTCCCTGCTTTGCCTGTTTTCGTTTCCCCCCAGTACCCAGTTCCCGAGTCTTCTTAAACTGCCCTCCTTCCCCCACACTCTCTTCTTGTTTCCCCTTCTTCACCTCACCATCAACCGGCTCGTCCTTCCCTTTCCCAAGCCAACAACACATTCCTTCAGCTTCGGTCGCCAGCTTCGGTCGCCAGCCTCGACCTTGCTTTCGCAGTCCGTTGTCCAGCTAACAATTCCAACAACGACCGCATCACTTTCATTATTCGCGTCTTTGACAGACCGAAAACCAAAACAGCAATAACCACACCTTCTGAGTACGGATATCAACTTTCGATATACCCACCAATCCTTCTAGCGGCTGGCACTTCGCGCGTCTTCGTTATCTTCGGGAAAGAAACAGTCAACAGCTTATTTTCACAAGCACCTACCTCTCGATAGACACTACTCACGCAAACGCCCCCTCGAAACACAAAACACCAAACCCGATACTCCATCGACGACTTTCAAGATGTACACCAAGAAGGCTCTTTCCCTCGCCGCCACTCTGGCTCTTGCCGAGCAGGCCATGGGCTTCAACGCTCACCGTCACGCCCACCAGGACAAGCGTGCCATGCAGTACGACATCGTCACCTACTGGGTCACCGTCACCGAGACCGAGGGCAACGCTCCCCCCAGCACTCCTACTCCCACTCCTGCTGCCCAGCAGCCCGTTGCTGAGCTTGCATCCTCGCCCCTTCCCTCTACCACCACTTCCACCAGCATCGTCGTGGTCCCTACCCCCACCCCCGTTGCTCCTGCCCCTACCACCACCTTGGTCACCTCCTATGCCCCCAAGGTCCAGCAGTCTGCTCCGGCTTCCTCCTCCTCCGCTGCTGTCTTCCAGGCTGCTGAAGTCAACGTCGCTGCCACCTCTGCCACATCCTCAAAGGCCGCTGCCGCTAGCACCGTCAGCACCTCGAGCACTGGCGGCAAGCGTGGTCTCGCTTACAACTCGGCCAGCCTGGTCAGCAACTTCTTCTCCAGCGGCAACAGCTGCGAGCAGTGCTCTTGGGCTTACAACTGGGACTCTTCCTCCAACGGTCTCTCCGAGAGCCTCAACTACGTCCCCATGCTGTGGGGACCCATTGACACCCACACTGCCCGCTGGACCGCCAACGCCGACGCCGCCATCAAGGCCGGTTCTACCCACATCCTGAGCTTCAACGAGCCTGACCTTCCCGCTCAGGCCAACCTGGACGCTGCTACCGCCGCCACTGCCCACGTCAAGTACATGAACCCCTACTCCGGCAAGGTCAAGATCGGCTCTCCTGCCATCACCAACAGCAACATCGCCGGCCAGGGTCTGGACTGGCTCAAGGCCTGGGTCTCTGCCTGCGACACTGCTGGCTGCGCCTACGACTTCTGCGTCACCCACTGGTACTCTCCCTCCGACGCTGCCGACACCCTCTTCTCTCACCTCCAGTCCGTCCACGAGATCTGCGGCAACAAGCCTGTCTGGCTCACCGAGTTCGCTCCTCTCGGCAGCGACGACCAGATCTCCAGCTTCGTCCAGACCAACGTCCCCAAGCTGGATGCCGTCTCTTACCTTGACCGCTACTCCTACTTCATGGTTAGCGATGGTGTCCTGACCTCCGGCACCGGCCTGAGCGCCCTCGGCAAGACCTACGCCTCTGCCGCTTAAGGAGTTCCAAGTCAGCATCACTTGATTCTTGAGCGCGCTTCACTTTTGGGATGGGCAGGCATTTCTTCGGTTTCTGGGGTTCAGGGTGGACAACTTTCTGAAAGTGGATGGCACTTTCTCTCTTCTTCTTCTACTGTACATACAGTTACTTTTCTTCCTTTTCGGGACTCTCGTCTTTTCACATCCGGGGGTGGTCACTCGCTGGATATTTCCCCACAGGATGCTTCTTTTTTCGGTTCGGGGTTGGCTCAAGAATATGGGATACCCGACGCAAGGTGTTTGCGGACTTTTTGAGGCATAGAAAAGGGAAATTGGCTCTTGGACGATCCTACGAGGAACCAAAAGGATAGACTCACGAGCTACGATCAGACAAACAATCATGGAATGGAATACCAGGCATTACGCCAAGACCACGTCATTCGTCCACAACCATTAAACCCCATTGTAGTCCGCGCCATGTGCAAACTAACTCCGAAGAAGAAGAAGCACGGAATAACTGCTGTCCTATTCCATAAGACCTTGCTGTGACGATGCTTTGAACTCTGTTGTCCTGGACCCGTGCAGCTGGGCCCTGCTGCTACCGTAGAGGGGGAAAACGGTGTTGATCTTTTGGTCAAACGGTGACAGTAGAAGGAAGAGGTGTGCGGTCCGCCAACCAACGGGTAATTGCCACTGGCAACAAAAACGGTTCGGTCCCGAAGTCACAAGCTGTTCCGAGTCCCTGTTCCTTCCCGCGAAGACACACAGACACAAGCCCCACTGTCTGCCGTGGCCCGTACCAGCCGCTCCGAGTCTTTAGAGCACTGGGGAGAGGTGACACAAACAGCTTGTGTGCGCGAGTACACACTTTAAACTTCCGCCGGATGTCACGAGCCCGTGCGTTGATCGGGCCGTACGAGACATTTCCTTTAGTGGTGGTGGACACACAGTGAAGACTAGAGTGAAGGTAGGGCCAAGGCAAGATGAAGGAAGGCCCTCTGAATCTGACGTACAGCTTTGTTGTTGGGGGGACCGCTGTGTCACCTGTGATCCTACAGCAGGTAAGCCTTGTATGCCTTTGTTGTCTCATTGGCCATGACTGTATGCTGACTTCCATCTTTCTTCTCCATTATTCTAGCTTTCCGGGATAAAGGCCCGAGGTGGGGAGCCGTCTAAGCAGTCGCAGCGATGCTTGTATGGGGTCATACGTAGGAGAAATGCAAAACTCAACAGACTCGTTAGAGTTGTGGCATTACGCATATTCCTCCATATATGAAGACTGCCCTGCGTGGGCCGCTTCCTTGCTGACAAACGCCTTCCATGGCCGCCGTCTTGGTGGGTTGGACTATGTATGGAAGGCAGCGAGGTTTGTGGGGGAGGGCGGAAGAGTTCGTGAGAACTGTCATCCGTCTTCAATTAGGTTTCAGGGTTGGTGGCTATGATGTACATGTCTGCAGATCATGATGCTCTCGTGGGGCGAAAGAATGCCAGAATAGGATAAACCACCCCGTGTACACGATTTCACGTCACGTAGTGGGGATAATTTAGACGTTTTGACAACGTCCGCTATGGTTCAGGCCGACGCAGGTTCAAGAGATGAATCTGATGGTGCGCAGATCATGGTGTGCCGACTGGACATGAGAGGGAAGGAAAGGGGTGCAGTTTTCGGCGTTTTCAGATCTTACCTTTCGGCAATGCTGAGGAAGTACGAGAGAGACAGAGCTTCGGCGCCGGTGTGCCGCTCTTTCCGTGCTTTACCTGTCACGAATCCACATCCCAAAATTTGAAAGGGGAGACCGATGGGATGCATAGTACGGCAGTCGTGATGGTGTAGCAGAGGTCAAAGACTCGTCGGACGGAGGAAGGAGATGAGAATGGCCGCCGCCTGAGGGTGCCATCACGCCGGGCCATGTTCTTCTTCACCGCCGGTTTGGTATTCTACACACGTGTTTGACACGCTACGTGCAGAGAACTAGTGTGACCTGCGTCCAATCCGGTCAGGGAGAGAGCGATGGAAAAGATGGTGTTGAGGACGAAGAGGAAAAATCCGATCGTGATCGACGGCATTGTGCCATTTGCCATGTGTTTGACAATGGCAGTTTGTCGCCACGGCCGAGAATTTCTGGTCGAATTTGCCCATTATCATGTTGATGGTGAATTCTCACCAATGGTGATATTGCCGACCGAACGAGTGGTCTGCCGGAGTGAGTGTGTGAGTGAGTGAGTGTGTGTGTGTGTGTCACCATTGCGCCGGACGACTGAACGGCATGCCGATGATGGGACGTCTCGATATCTGACATTGTCCAAAACTCTGTGTGAAATTGGTGGCTGCTGTCGTCGCGTGTGTCTGTAATTTACCAATGAGGGCGGATTGTGTGTAAACATAGACCCTCGAGCCAGAGCCGGCCAACTGTCTATTGCATGCTAGCTTCGGATGTGTTGTAGATACATATTCTGGCCAACAGCTAAAAAAGAGTATGCAACAAGAATCGTAAATAACACATACCGTTTTGTTAGTGGTCAGCCAGACGGAGAGGGGGTCAAGTTTGATGCGGTTCCGCACTTGCAGGAAACTCAGCCGATGTCCGGTCTCCAAGTTATGCCGTTCGGATACATAAGATAGACCTCTACAGTTGTATGTCTTTGGGCATGGGCAAGATCCAGCTGCGCGCACGCAATGCAGGCAGCCAGCTAGACAACGGGGCAGGGCAAGGCGAAGGCAAGGTAGCGGCGCGGTAGACTAGTAGAAAAACTGCCTCAAAACCAGTTCGAAGCTTCGTTCCCGGAGAGGGTTTCCGACGCAACCTTCACGTACGGACGAAAAAGACTAAAGGCAGGAATGATGTAAAAATCAGTCGAAAGACAGGGAGGCCGGGGGCGGAAAGGTCGAGTAGAGTTGCGTTGGGCTGTCTTTGCGTTCTTGTTGGTTGGGCTGGTGGAGTTGGTCGATGAGTGTGTGTGTGTGTGTAAGTATGTGTGCGGAGGACGGGGATGGAGGCACATGTAAGTGAGCCAGAGAAGGAGAGAATGGAAGGCAAGCGTAGCGTAGAAGCTGGTTTTGATACATGACTCGTGAGGGGAAGCACGTCGTAGCAGGGGTGGACGGTGCATGAAGAAGGATGTTTCTCCCGTCTCTTTGGCCTCTTGGCTTTCTTCGATGAGACGAAAAGTAGGGATACTTTTTGCACACGTCGAACCGACCGCTATTCCCCGGCTGATGGAGGGGAAGGGGGGGAGGGAGCTTGGGACATTTCTCGGTGTGGATACGTCGCAGCGCTCCGAGCTGGACCGGGGGAGGGGCTGAAGTCTGGAGACATTGTACACAACTTCCCCCGGTCCTGAGTCGGTGATGTGGGGATAGGCCGGCGGTAGAAGCGGCTTTCGTGTGGTCTCCCCATTGACAACGCTGCGTTGCAGATGAACCCGGCATGTCACGCGAGCTGAAGAGATGGCAGTGTCTGTGGCTGGTGTAAGTTGATACCACTGTCGAGTCCTGCCATCTTTCTTTCCCACACCGCTTCCGTCCGGCTCTTCAATGCGGCGGCATATCAGAGGAAGGTCCACGAGACGTGGTGCGGCTCTGGCGAGACATACGAGATAACGCCTCCTTGGCGCAGCGACACATTGGAGGGCGATGGTAGCTTTCAGATGTCATAGTATGCTGACCTGACGTCTGCTGTAGCCTGACTTTTCCGTCTTGACGTGGTATCAGCTCTCACCTCCATAACGACCGGTTCATCAAGAACCCAACCCTACACTTTTCCGAGCTTGCTTCTATTCATCCTTCTTCCATGCATCCCTAGCGCCGCATACTTGCTTACATAGTATCATCCTACGGTTGGGACCGTATTCGCCGCACTCAATGGCTTATTGGGCGGAGGATGAGCTTCTTAGCCTTTTGGCCACGGTAACACCACAAACATGGCTTCCGACTGGCTACATGCAAACCGCAACACGTGGTGCTGGCTGCCTAGTACGAAGAAGCGAAGCTACGCTGCGGGATACGGCAGATCTGGGTTTCTCGGTAGATAGATCTCTAATCTCATCTTCGTTTCGCCTCCCACCTCCTCCTCACTCCTCCCCCCCTCCTCTTCGTTTGTTTGTCCTTCTGTAATGCTACCCTTGAACTTTTCCAACACCCGAAGATACAAACCGTTCCATGTGGTTTTCCATCGACTTGCCGTTTTGGGATGTTATTGCGTGATGATGCGCGGACACTGCGAGGGCGGTACGCTTTTTGCCCGCAGTGCTAGGGTTTGACGCATCAACCCTCCCTCCCGCTACACTTTATCTCATCTTTTTGTATTGCGCCTCGCTTGCTTGGGGGGAGGGAGAAAAGATTGGACAAGGTGCCCGCCACCACGCCAGTGCTTCTTCGTTCTGAGTGGTCGCTGCTTCTGCTACTCTTTCGTAATCCAACGGCGCGTGCGAGGTAGAAGTTCTGACCGAATGAGATGCAAACAAGAACATACTTCTTCTTTTTTTTTTTTTTTGGGTGCGCTTTGCTAGCCAAGCACACACTGCTTCCTCCTCCCTGACATGTGTAATATAAAGTGCCTTTCTTCTCTTCGGCACGTAGGAAACGAATAAGCGCCGGTTCGGAACGTCTGCCGAGAGAGAGAGCCAATGCATCCTGTGAAATGCTCCAAGTCAGCTGTCAAGACGCAAGAAAGAGCGAAGAATTCGCGAGGATTAACACGGACGCCCTGCATGCGGTTTGAATGATCCGGGGGAGTCCCCATCAAGAGGGCCAATGCCCGCAGAATAGCTGCTGCCCGGGCCTTGCCCAATGCTTCATGCCCATGCTTCAACAGGACAATGCGCAAGATGTCACCATCTCTGCTCTTGCAGAGAGTCTGCCCAGCCTGGTGCAGTGCTTTTTTTTGATGGGCCCGCACCCTTCTCTCAAAACCAACGCAGCCGCTGTTTTCAATCATGTTTACGCAGCAATGTAACCGACTATATACAAGCATGCACGTTGCCCGGAAGACAGGCCTCAGAGATAAACAAGGGGTCTTGTTAGACGAGACCGGCGCTTACGTGCTCTTCTCTGCTACGGTAGCAAATCCCGAGAAGCGGTAGTCCGAGTTAAAATCATACAACACTTACAGCTCGAGGGGCCAATTCTTGGCTCTTGCGCAGCTCAAGCAAACACCGGTGAAGAAGGGAGAGAGATAGCAGGCTGAGGCGCCCAAGCGTCCAGAGTCAGGAATGCAACTTTGTTTGCTTCTGGTGACTCGACATTCGTCGACTGCGGATAAGCTTCATGGGTGATGCCTCCTCCTCCCCCGAAGGACCCTCCGTTTTCAACAACCCGCACGCAGAGTGGAGCAGCGGCAAGGTAAACGGAACAGAGGGGCCGCGAAGGTAGCCAAGACCGGGGAAACGACAGGCTTTCCTGGCCTTGGGGGCTGGGACGATTGCTACGGCGCAGCTCAAGCCCCCAGCTTCACCTACATGACTTGGGCGGACAGAAAGCTCGTAGAGAAAACGACAACGAGCAGAGTCATGGGAGTAATTCTGAAGGGCAGGTCAGGGCAGCCCTTCATGTGGCTGGTCTTTGATGGGTGAACGGGCGCTTTCGCTTTGGGAGCGGACAAGAAGGCCGCAATATCGCATTGTTTTCAGCTCCCGATGAAGAAGACCCGAGTCTCGAGTTCCGGAGCTTCTTTTTTCTTTATTTCGCTTATTCGACCAACTGACTACATACCTACTCCATGAGGTAAATCGCTTCGTAGATGTAGTAGTAGTAGCAAGGGTCTGACCGATATGAGAGAGCGAAGATTTCGGAGGATCTCTGAGCCACGTGTATGCGTTGAGTCCTCCTTTCGCATTACAATCAACGTCCCGAAAGCGCGTGTTGACCCTGGGCCCCCTGCCTCCCTGGTCGCATTCATCCCCGTTCATAGGATGGGCGATATCTGAGATTACGAGACACTAGGGTCAAAAGCAGTACATGAATACATAGAAAAGAGGGCAAAAACGAATAAAACGTGGCATGGAAGTCAAGTTCCGACGCCCGCGCACTCGGGTACATGTTGTACGACGTGTGACACATGGCGTCCCGCCGCCGCTCGACACGATTTCCAGGTGCAACAAAACGTCCAAGGTTCGCTAGAAGAGCCGTAGAAGCACGTTCGGCAGATGTGAAAGGAGGAGGCGAAAACATCAAGCACGTGGGAAATCCGGACTAAACTTGGGTGGCGGATTCTGCAGCAGCTGCAGCAGTCCATCGGTCTGGCATCAGTTGTGGTTAGTGAATGGCGCCGCCTTGGCTCCTCTTCTCTGGAGAGCAAATCACGTCCCAAAGTTCCAAAAGGCAAATGTTCAGTCACTAGATGTGAGCTTATTTGATCGAGATTGTGGCGAAGGGTCCCATTCCTGGCCCACGTAATGCGCGACGAACACTGCAGGACACGAGGTTCTTGGATCTGTTTCTCTCACGTGTTGTGATACTTTATTCTGATAAGACTTCTTGGTATCGACTATTGCAGCCGGTGCTGCTGGTAATGCTCGCGGCGTAACGTTGCGGATCGCTGATCCGTCCAACCCTGTTGGTTTTCGTGACTGGTGCAAGAAACCCCATTTTCCTACCCATCGCCATTTTCACTGTCTCTTCATGCGGAAAATGACCCCATGTTCTGAAAATTCCCACGTCCTCTTGAGAGTGAGCCTGTTCTCTTGCCAAAACACCAAAAGAGTTCATATGAGCCGTAGAGATTCGTCATTTCCGGTTATCCTCGTGTATGTCCCAGTAACCTTATCCAATACCAACCAAGCCCGTCACCAAATAACAACCATATTGCCCGTGTATATAGATGGAGATAGAAAAAAGAAACAAAGACAAGACATCCAGCCCATCGTAGAGCTCATAATGTCGTGATATCAAGAAAAAAGAAATATGTTGACTCCGGTGGTGTCTTTCGTCCTAGAACCCCCGTGAGGGCAGTCCGATCCCCCAAAAAGAAAAGAAAAAGCAACCGTTGTGACGCCAATGATGTTGTGTGTAAGTTTGGAACCGTTGCGCGCCGGGAAATGAGGAAAGCGATCCCTGGACATGATGCCGCCTGTGACAGACCAAAAGCAGTGGGAATGCCCTTTTCTCGATCGTCCTCAATCAACGCTTGCCGGCCGTGATTTTCGTCCGCGATCCCCTGGTGTAGTTATCGAATTCCTGATCCCTGCCGCTCATCGGTCTAGATGATGCATTACTGGGCGGTGCTGTGTACCCGTCCTCGATTTGCATCTCCTCGAAAAGAGCCGGCCCGGGCTTCGATTCGCGCTTGATAGTCGTCGTCACCATCACGGCGCCGGTCGATGGTATCGTGCTCGCCGAAGAGGCGTGGCGTTGGCGTTCCGCTTCGCTCGAACCCTTGTCGCTGTTGGCGAACTCGGAACGGGTGCCGCTGTCGAGCGAGATCTCTCCCATGTCATCCATGACGTGCTTCTGGCTCGGGGCGATGTGAGGTGAGTAGCCGCCTTCAGGTCCACCACGGAAGTCATCGACCACGAACGGGTTCGCATCGTTGCTGCGCGATGCACCTCCTGAGGAGCCTTGCGTGGCAGCGTTATCCTTGTTTGTAACCCACTGGACGACAACAGCAGAGAAGAGGACTGGGGATGGAGTCAGCCGATGAAAAGCAGGGATATGGTTGGGTGGGAAGCATACTATCGCTGTTGCAGCACATGAGGCAAACCCAGCCGGGCTCACCGTCAAGAGCCATCAATACAGTCAGGTTCCTGGAGCGAGTCAGAAACTTTGAGCTTAAATCATGTTATCTGCCCGCGACTTACACGATGCTGCTGGTAAGCGTGCACAGGGCACCAACGAACGTCCGCAACGCGACAGTCCTCAAGCGGACGTTGGCAGGAGTCTTGGGGAAGTTTTTGAAAGAGTAGAGACCTGTTCTTGGATTAGTGGGTGCGCTTTTGTAGACTGGGTAGATAAGACTTACTCTTGAGGGGGATGAGGAAGAGGATAGTCAGGTAAACGTTGACGACGGCGTCAAAGGAGATGAGAGGTATCATCGAGACCTTCTGCATACCAATGTAGCACTGGCCGTCGTCTATCCTCGTAATTCGGCTGTAGCGTTGTTAGCTGTCGTCCATCTGGAGTTGTTTCCGGATCGCGTACAAGATAAAGTTGAGAATGGCAATAACTGCGTAGACGCCCAGCATGCCAAACGAGTTGAAAATGTAAAGCTTCGACTTGAGCCGTGGCTTCGTCGCGCCTCGAATAATGTGCTTCGCAGACTGTTAGCCAATTTCCCATCCTTCAACCTCCTTTCCCGAAACACAGGGTACGCACTGCTTTCTCAACCAGGAACAGGTAGATCAACACTTTCGTCGTGATGTAGCAAACGAGGCATAGCAGAATGGCGCCGTCGCAAATTTGGATGTTCGTGTTGACGCCGAGGGCGAATTGTAGAACCGCGGTGACGAAGACGAATAGGTATGAGTCGAGGTAGATTAATAGCACCACTTGAGGCTGTCGTTAGTATGTGTTGTCCTCCCTGTATTACTGGTTTGCCGTGTATTCGACTTACACCACACCACGAACGGTATCCTCCTCCACTGTTTTATCGCAGAACTTCTTTGGGCTGCAAGGTCTCATTAGCATCCCGGTCGTGGCCCCCACTGATCCACCCGCTTCCCGCGATATCCACATACCAATGAAGCCTGAGATGATACTGATGGAAACCAGACAGATGATGACGCTCATCACCGTGCCCGCCAAAGGCTCTACCGTGTGCAGCCCGGCGGGGTCCGCTCGGGGGAGCACCATTGGAGCCATCATGTCCCGATATCTGTGTTGATGCCCTCGGGTGGTCGTCGCAAGGGGAGGGAGGTGACGGAAAAGGCGATGTCGAGGGATTCGTTTTTCGGTGTCACGATCTTTCGTACATGGGGAAGTAACGAGAGGCTCCGAGCAGAGGTGTAAAAGGGCCAGAAGAACTATATACCAAAGACAAACCGGGAACGCTATAGGCAGGAGATCGACGGTTTGGGTGTCCGAGCTACCTTCGTCTCGCAATGTCTGGGAGGGGGACACAACCGTCTTTAAGTTTCGTCCAACAGGTGATCGAAGCGTACGTGCAAGGACGGACGGGTGAGAGGGGCAAGCTAAAGTGCGGTACGGTACAGACAGCCCAAAAAGCCAGTGCTGCTACAAGGATGGAGGAGTTCCGATGCGCTAGAGGCAAGGGGTGGGAAAGCAGACTTGCAGGCGAAGAGGAATAAACTTATCCGTGCCTACGTCTCTTTCCTTCGTCTTCCTTCTCCTCCTGGTGGGTAATGTGAAGGCAGGGGAGGGGGGGGAGGGGCGCATCCATCCAGAGACGTACGTGATGCCCAGCTGAATGGTCAATAGTAAGTAAGACTCAAGCCCACTTAGCATGAGAAGAAGAAAAAAACGGCGTTTCTGCTCGGTTTCTTCTTCTTTTTTTGTGGCAGCTACCGGTCTAGGTCCGGCTGCAGCTGGTTGACTCGGAGCAAGCCACCGGCCAAGAAATGCTAGTACGATCTTGGTGTTTTAAACAAGTGACGGCGTTGAACAGTGAAAATGTGCTACCGCTTAGTAGCATGTAGGTACGACGAGTATCATTGGGATAGCTAGCGGCCCCTGATGCAAGCCACAAGGAAGGGGATTCCAAAGCGACAGACAGACTCTGATGGATTCTTTTGGGGCTAATAATGAGGAGAAACGGTTTGTACACGTACCGCGGTACCCAGCCGCAGTCTCGTGAGAAACGGAAATGAGGATGCAAGGGAGAGGTGGTAACGGCTCGGAGAAGACGTGTGCTCGTGCACACATACATACACAAAAGAGCATTTACGTACTGTAGGCAGAGACAGAGTTCTCTCATACAATACATGGTAAAGACAGCAGGGAAGCACATTCCGTCGGGTCAGGTTCCAGCCCTCGGAGAAAACGGTGAGGCAAAAGGTAGGAACAAGGACCTCATCGGGTTGAAGACTGCAGCACCCCAGACACAGGTGACGACAGGAAACACAGCAGCCAAAGGCTGTTTCGTGGCCAAGCTCATGTCACGGTGACGGGACGGGGGACAGGGTGCCTGAGTCGAGGTGGAGGGGCACATCGTTACGAGAGATAAACTCTAATCCGATGTGTGTTTTCCCGTCTCTCTCTCGCTCTCGTCGGGTGTCTCTGGGTTTCTCGCCTGCAGGTCAAAGGCACAAAGTAGAAATCCGCGACAGGAAGGCCCATCCACCGAGCGGTGATGGTGGTGGGAGCTTCCGTTGGCTTTGCAGCTGTTCTGCTGTGTGTGCACGCTGGCCTAGCAGAAGCTACCAAGCATGCCTCCAACCAGACGACGCAACAGCTGAGTATCTGCAACGGGGCGACAGGGGACCATGGTCGAACCTGGCTGCCGATCCCGTCCAGCAACCAACCAGCGCGGTCCACTATCGACGGTCCGCCGGGCTAAATCACCATGTTGACCAGGTCCAACGAAGAAGCCCTATCTCGCCTCAAGGCAACCTAACGACGTATTATTTGCATCGTTAGGCACAGGCAGGCTTCACCGTCTGTCCACCGCCACCGCCATCCACACTCCTTGACAGATATCGACTACTGCGGGAAGAAGTGCGGACATGCGGACGTCCCGCGCTAGCCAGCACCAGCATTGGCGTAGTTTCGCTTCAGGAGCTGTCCGCCACAAAGAAAAGACGGCAGGCTAGAAACATGGCTGGACGTCTGTAGCATGGACCCTTTCCCCGTGACTTGCTGCCACTGCTGCTCATCTTCCTCCACCGAGCGCCTCTGACGATCAATGTTCCGCTGAGGATATTGTTCGAGCTGCGCGAGCAATCTAGTCTGCGGCACACGGGACGCCGCCAGCCCTGACCCCCTGGCATATTGGGTCCCTTCTTTTGCTGATTTTGAGGCTGTGGGCTTTCGCATCGTCACGGCTCCGCGGTTGCGCGGCCGAACGACGGACGGGGTCTCCATTTGGTTCTTGCGCAGCAGCAGCAGCAGCAACAAAGAAGAGCTGTACGCACGGCGGATCTGTGAGACCCATTCCCGCAACTAAAACAGACGCATTCCTGGGGAACGGAGAGATCGACAAGCGTATCCGCATTTCAGGTAGTTGGGACTAAATGGATCCCGATGTGGGCGAGCTACCGATGTGAGACCTGCCTGGATCTTCCACGCCTCATCCGGCGGGAAAGACTCCAAGAAAGAGCACTATAGCCGCCTGGCCATGTAGATTCAAGTATTCGCCGAAAAGGCCGACTAAGAAAAGTCTTACGGCCGACGGTGACCTCACAGCCTCGAGCGGTATCTGCTAGAAGGATGGACGATCCAAAAAAGAAGGTTTGAAAGTTCAACTCTGCGATTGGGGTTAAATGACTGCAAATGAACCTGAGGGAAAGGAAGAACACGAGATGGATGGAAGAAAGTGGCAGAGCGCCGGCTGACCGGCGAGCAGCACTCACGGCCAAGATGTCAGATCGCTCGCTTCGCTTTCATCTTTGATTTATGTTTTTCTTTCTTTTTTGACCGTTGTTCGAGTCCTCGGCGCCCTCGCCGCACCTCCGCAAATCCCAAATGCCATACCTTCGATGCACGATCGGTTTAGCGTTTGATTGAGAAGTCTTTGTGCAATATAGTTGTTTCTGGCTTTTCGAGTCTGTGGGTGGGCGGGACATGCGGGCAATCTTGCATCATCGTCACGATCTAGAGTTCGGTCGAACGTTTGAGCCGGGTCATCTGGCGTGCCATTGCCAGCGCCCATAATCGAAGGAAAAGGGGACCATGAGAACCACTAAGCAGTGGTTCAACGAGGGCCAAGAAGCCAGAACAAACGGTCGCTGAGCTTATTGAATCTGCGTTGAGACTGTGCCCCTCGATATGCGAATCCGCGGTTTCCTCCTCGTTCAAGCTCATGCGCGCCACGCCAAACAGCCCAAGGCAATTGTGTGCTCGAGGGTGCGGCTGACCTTAGCACCTAACACCGAGACAACTCACGGAGCTGCAGGAGGCACGAAGGGTAGATCTTCCTCATCGTCAGCTAGCGGGTCGAGCGTTGTCGGAGGACATCCAGATGGCAGCCAGCCAACCGCGTTGACGGAAAGGAGAGATTGGGCAGAGGCTAGGCAGATGGTGAGACGCGGAGGTTACCGGGGCTGGTTGGAGCTTGAGAGCTTTGCGAGCCACGGATGTCGCAATGGCCGTCTAGGAAAGGGAGGCATAATCCGCAAAGTGTCGTGTAAGATCGTCGTCCAGACTTTTGTGTGTTTTGTGCAGCGGGGGACTTTCCGCGGACGCTTGCTCCATAGTGCATTTCCTCTTCATAACGCCAGCAGGTCTGTCTGATGAGGAAATACCCGAGGCCGGAGGGATCAGTTGTCCGGCAGGCAAGTCCAGTGTCGTGCTCGGTCTGGTGGCTGAGATGTGGCTGCCAGCCGGAAAACCTCTCGTGGGGTGGATTTGGGAAGGAGGCAGGACACCACCGTGCACTCAGTTCGTGCAGATGGACAGAAACGCCATGCAGATAGATGCGTGGCACCGACACCTGCTAGACCCCGTCTTGCTTGCCATTCACCCTCCTCTCCCCGCCCTCGCTTTCGTGCAGCCGGTCTCAAAGCTCGCCTGCGTTGCAGTATGTACGTCAGGCGCGTGGCCTTGGCCGAGGAGATGTCGTCGTCGTCGTCGAGGCGTTTGTCTCCCGTTTGCACGCTGCGCTGTACCATTCAACATGTTGCGAGAGCAGGGCCTGCAGTCCCAGAAACGACACCCGAGCTGAGGTTGCACTCTCCATGTTGGCCATTATGCGCTAGATGGTGTGCGACGGCGGCGGACGCAAATCCCGTAATGCAATCCAACCCAAAAACGCGACCATACAGGATCTAGCCAAGTCTGCGAGCCTGCGGCTGCAGTTGCCCATGCCAGAGGATAAGCGAACTGAAGAACGAAGATCTGGGGCGCCCGACGCTGGATCACGAGGACCCGAGGAGGATATGCGAGGTGCGACTAGACAGAAAGGTATTCCCAGGCCCCGGGTATCAGGGAGAAACAAGCGGTTGACAAGAAGACAGGATAAGCAAGCAATGAGACAAGCAGCCCGAGGAGAGAATGTCGTGTTGCCATTGGACAATTGCGCCAATTCATCCGGCCCCAGCTGGACGACGGCGCAGGGACCAAACCTTTTTTTGGTGGACGACTTTCTCGGAAGAACGAAACCCCGCTTTTGCCCAACCCCAAACATCCAATGACAGCGGCTTCTGCGGGATCCCGCCCCGCTGAGAAGGGCCCGTGAGCGCAAGCCACATCTCCGAAGCTCTCACGGACAGCATCCTGCCGGAATTGCTGGTTGTTCCTGCTCGCCTCGGCGGGAACGGAGGGACCGTGCCACACCTCGACCTCGACTTCACTTGTCTGGGGAAAGTGCGGCCTCAACCAAGGAAGGACAAAAAAAAAGGGTCCACAGGCGGTTGATTGGCCCGGCATCAACCACCACCCATGTCATCACCGTTTAGCCACACATCGTCAGCCACGTCGGGAACACGATGATACACCACGACGCCCACATGCCAGACTGCTTTAAGGGCTAGCATCGCCGGCTTGCCTCGTTTTCAACTAGACCGGCACGCCCTTCTCTTCGGCAGTCTCACACTCCTGGTTTATTACGTACGACGGCGCCGTGAGCTAGTTGTTTCTGCTTCGCCCGCCCCCTTTTTCGCGAACCCACCGTAGTATTTCGATGCGTCGCGGAACACTCCTCGATCAGCCTTAGATCTCCGAGACGCCTCTCAGCGATCGATATTTCG